CCTCCTGGGTTCAGGCAATTCTCCTGCCTCAGCCTCCTGAGTAGCTGGGATTACAGGCACGCGCCACCATGCCCAGCTAATTTTTTGTAGTTTTAGTAGAGACGGGGTTTCAGCATGTTGACCAGGATGGTCTCGATCTCTTGACCTCGTGATCCACCCGCCTCGGCCTCCCAAAGTGCTGGGATTACAGGCATGAGCCACCGTGCCCGGCCACTATGTTTTTTTTGAGACGGAGTTTCACTCTTGTTGCCCAGGCTGGAGTGCAATGGCGTGATCTTGGCTCACCGCAACCTCCGCCTCCTAGGTTCAAGCAATTCTCCTGTCTCAGCCTCCCAAGTAGCTGAAGCTACAGGAATTCACCAACATGCCCAGCTAATTTTTGTATTTTTAGTAGAAACAGGGTTTCATCATGTTGATCAGGCTGGTCTCGAACGCCTGACCTCAAATGATCTGCCTGCCTTGGCCTCTCAAAGTTCTGGGATTACAAGTGTGAGCCACTGTGGCCAGCCTACACTCTCTTGACAAAGGTTTTTTTTTTTTCAATCCCAGTTTGGCTGGGTGCTGTGGCTCATGCCTATAATCCCAGTACTTTGGGGGGCTGAGGCCAGAGGATCACTTGAGCCCAGGAGATTGGGGCCAGTCTGGGGCAACATGGTGAAACCCACCTTTACAAAAAATAAAATTAGCTGGGCATAGTGGTGTGTGCCTGTGGCCCCAGCTACTTGGGAGGCTGATCTGGGAGGATCAGGAGCCCAGGAATTAGAGGCTGTAGTGAGCCATGATTGTGTCACTGCGCTCCAGCCTGGGTGACACAGTGAGACCCTATCTTGAAAACAAAAGAAAACAAAAAAAGTGTCCTGGCCAGGTGCTGAGACTCACACCTGTATTCCCAGCACTTTGGGAGGATGAGGCGGGCAGATTGCTTGAGTCTGGCAGTTCGAGACCAGCCTGGTTGTTATAGTGAAATCCCATCTCTACTAAAAATACAAAAATTAGCTGGTTGTGGTGGCGCACACCTATAGTCCCAGCTACTTGAGAGACTGAGGTGGGAAAATCACTTCAGCATGGGATTGGGGCTGCAGTGAGCCATAATTGTACCCCTGCATTCCAGCCTGTGAGACAGAGTGAGGCTCCGTCTTAAAACAACAAGAAAACCCATGACCACTCAGACCTGCAGCCAGTGGAGACAAGGTAGAGATGGAACCCCACGCTTCAGCCTGCATCTTACTTTTTTGAGGGGCTAATTTAATTTAGAATGTCTAGCAGGGAAGTGTGTCTGTCAAGGAGGACGGTCCCGAGCTATCCTCCCACCAAGGCCTCCTGAAACAATAAGATTACAGGCATGAGCCACCGTGCGCAGCCTGAAGGTCCCATTTACAGATGAGGAAAGAGAAGTTCAGGGTTGGCTTCTTCCTCAGCCAGCTCTCTCCAACTACTGCCTATTTTTTTCTTCTTTCTTTTTTCTTTTTCTTTTTCTTTTTTTTTTTTTTTTTAGACGGAGTTTCGCTCTTGTTACCCAGGCTGGAGTGCAATGGCGCGATCTCGGCTCACCGCAACCTCCGCCTCCTGGGTTCAGGCAATTCTCCTGCCTCAGCCTCCTGAGTAGCTGGGATTACAGGCACGCGCCACCATGCCCAGCTAATTTTTTGTAGTTTTAGTAGAGATGGGGTTTCACCATGTTGACCAGGATGGTCTCGATCTCTTGATCTCGTGATCCACCCGCCTCGGCCTCCCAAAGTGCTGGGATTACAGGCTTGAGCCACCGCGCCTGGCCTCTTTTTTCTTTTTCTTGAGACAGAGCCTCACTGTTGCCTAAGCGAAAGTGCAGTGGTGTGATCTCGGCTCACGGCAACCTCTGACTCCCCGGGTTCAAGCGATTCCCCTGCCTTGGCCTCCCTAGCAACTGGGATTACAGGCGTGCACCACCATGCCCGGCTAATTTTTGTATTTTTAGTAGAGACGGGGTTTCACCATTTTGGCCAGGCTGGTCTTGAACTCCTGACCTCAGGTGATCCACCTGCCTTGGCCTCCCAGAGTGACAGGCGTGAGCCATCATGGCTGGCCACTACTGCCTATTTCTGCATCTCATGTCCCTGAAGGACAAACTGAAGGAACAAGGCCAAACATTTATTGAGCGCCGGTGGTATACTTAGCACTCAACCTGCATCCTCAAAGATCATCGTTACAACAGCCTGCTAGGAGTGGGTCAACTCAGTCACAGAGTGGGCTCGACCCTCACTCACTGTAGAGAGGGGAAAGCTGAGGTTCAAAGAGGTGAAATGACACTCCCGGGTCACACAGCAAGGACATTCGCGGCAGGTTTTGGGATGAGGCTATTCCTGCATCCATCGTCTAGAAATGGAAGGCCAGGCGCAAAGAACGTCAAGCGGGTGCTGTAGACCAGACGGCAGCCCAGAGTGAGTGGTGGACCTGGGTCTGGGTTGCGCCTGGTGGGGCGGGGCTATCCCTATTGGGTGGGCGGGGCCTGACCCGGGCTGCCCCTATCAGGTGGAAGCAGGGCGGAGTGCGCCTGCGCAGAGGGCTTGGGGGCGTGGCTGGAGGCTGAGATGCACCTGGTGGGCTGGGACCGGGCGGGCGGCGCAGCTGTGCCCGGGAAGCGAGTTCTTGCTACACGCAGTTGAGGCTAAGCTACCAGCAGGCGCAAAGGGTCCTGCTGCGGGTGGTCGTGCAAAAAATGAGACTGCGAGGTCACGTCGTCCATGCACTGAGGGAAACGACAGGACCCTCGGCCTCAACTCCTCGTCCAGCAAATGGAGCCGCCATCCTTGACTCCTGTCAGTGCCCTGTATGCGCCTCGGCAAGCCTGAGACTCCACGTCTGTCGAACGGGCATGCCATCCCCAAGAGGGAAGGCACCTTTTGTTAACCAGAGCTGATCCCTTCCCTGTGCCCCCACAGCCTCAGAAGAAAGCCGAACACCTCACCTGTCCACGCTCAGCTCCCTCCGCGATCCCCCTCATTCACAGTGCTCTAGCCACAGGCTTCCGGGCGGGTCTGCACAGGCAACAACGTTACTGCCCCAGGGCCTTTGCACATGCTGTCTGAGCGGCCTATTCTCAGCTCTTCCCTATGACCAGCTGCTCTTTTAGGTGTCAGCAAAATGCTACCTCCTGGCCAAATAGCCTCCCCTCTCTGCAGTTTCAAATCCATGGAGGGAGTGGGTTTTAGGCCTACAAAAAATATATATGTATAGGCCAAGGGTGGTGGCTCATGCCTGGAATCCCAGCGCTTTGGGAGGCCGAGGCAGGCGAATCACCTGAGGTCAGGAGTTTGAGACCAGCCTGATCAACATGGCAAAACACTGTCTCTACTAAAAATACAAAAATTAGCCAGGCGTGGTGGCGGGCACATGTAACCCCAACTACTTGGGAGGCTGAGGCAGGAGAATCACTTGAACCCAGGAGGCGGAGGTTGCAGTGAGCCGAGATCACGCCATTCCAGCCTGGGAGACAGAGTGAGACTCTGTCTCAAAAAATAGATAAATAAATAAAAGGCCGGTCGCGGTGGTTCACACCTGTAATCCAAGCTCTTTGGGAGGCCAAGGTAGGCAGATCACCTGAAGTCAGGAGTTTGAGACCAGCCTAACCAGCATGGAGAAACCCCATCTTTACTAAAAATACAGAATTAGCTGGGTGTGGTGGCTCATGCTTGTAATCCCAGCTATTCGGGGGGCTGAGGTAGGAGAATTGCTTGAATCTGGGAGGTGGAGGTTGTGGTGAGCCGAGATTGCACCATTGCACTCCAGCCTGGGCAATGAGAGCAAAACTCTGTCTCAAAAAAAAGAAGAAAAATGCCGTGACCATGAGCTTTTTAAAAAAATAATTTAAAAAAACAATAAACTAGGGGTCAGGTTTACAGTGGCTCACACCTGTAATCCCAGCACTTTGGGAGGTCGTGGTTGTGATACAGGACATAGAAATTATTAGGCAGTTAGTGAAGGTAAAAGAGTCCTGGGAATTTTTTTTTTTTTTTTTT